AACAGGACATAACTCTAGAATCTTGAACGCAATACTAGTCAAACTAATTCCACCTCTGTTTGTCACAACAAGATTCCTCCCTCTTCTTATAGACTAGGATATGGTCACAGAAGTGTGGATCAATTCGACGATAACACCTCTACCTCTGATTCCCATGCACCACTACCTAGCACCTCCGTCACTCTAATCATCAATTGTCTACCTACAACCTTGAAGAATCTAGGTGGCAATCTGTCAAATCCCACCACTGTGTATCTTTACAGGTTCGATCTAGTTTTCTCAATTTCAAGAACTGTTGCACGACCCACATCTATGTACCACTCCAATGATTTCAGTGATCATTTCACTAACTATCATCTTCTTCCTCCCCATCACTCCATCGGGTCTAAATAATTACCGGATATTATTCAATGTTGATGTCTTCTAGAGTCCTCTGGCCGTCAGCAACCACCACTGCTCGCAAATGACACGAAGACTCTCAGTCCACTTACGTTGGAGTTGTATTCACTCTTCATCGTGGTCACAACCCTCTAGACTCAGTCTTCTCGCATCAACCAGTCTCGACGACATTGTAGAAATCCAATGACATTTGCCAACCATCGCAAGTAGGTTAGGTTACCAAGTGTGTTTACCACTGTTTCTACACAAGACTTAATATCACGTCAGGTTTCCTCAGGATGAGCATTGCTGCTACTTCCCGAGAAATACCTAGCTATCTCTCCTCTAAACTAAATGTGTACTTGTCGTTCTCATCATGCAGTCGACTATACACAGCCTTTAATAAAGCATGTTTCCTACAACTAGTAAGTCGTAGACATACACGAGACCGTACTAGCATATGATCGGAGTTCAAACTGGTACTGATCCTCTCCAATGATGGCTTATACCAATGTGATCTATGTGTCCATTGTTGGTTTGGGTTTGGAGTGGGTAAACGCCATGTGAGACGACACTGTCTCTCCTTATACCTGAAGTTAGTGGTTATTAGAAACAAGCGATTGTAGGAGACGATCATTGATAGTTGTGGATTTGTTGGCATAGGAATCCGTAGATACCTACCAAGTGCTTACCGGATCGGCTCATCTTGCCTACTTGAGCGTTAAAGCCACCTCCCATTATGATTGACTATATGTGAACATTTTGTTTTCTGAAGTAAAATATACACCGTTTTCTCAAATTCATCCTTTGCATCATCCAATCTGCAGTCGTTTGGTGAGTAGGTCGAGGTTATAAGTCGGCAGACGCAAGCATAAAGCCCCTTTCTAGGTTTTACAAGTTTATTTACTCGGACAGGACACATGTTGAATGGTATGCAAGCGAGAGATGCCCTTTCCATTCCAAAAACTAATGATACGCCTACATCAGTGACTCCATGAGAGCTGTTCATTGAATCTCCGGAGACTCGTGAAGCAAGATTTGAAGATTCACCTGATTGACCAGATGAGGTCTAGGGATTAACTACTCTCGGGTCCTGTATGCATGTTTCAAAGGCAGCATAAATCCGTGGCTCTAGATTTCAGAGTGATGGTGGGAGATGCTTGTTACCCGATTTGGCATCAGGTTCGGTCGTTAAAAGCTTCAATATGGCATTGACAGTGCGGCCTTTCGAGACTAGAAATGAGGTTTTGGTGGCTTTGGTCGTTAGTAATGATTGCAGAGTGAGAGGCTGAAGGAGTTGCAAGAGGAATAATAACATTATCAGAAAGTGAAAGTAAAAGAGGAGAAAAAGGAAAGGCGGATAAGTTTGATTGGTGGGTTTTGTATACTACAAGGAGCGTTTGAGCTCTTGACTTTCTACAGCTGCTGACAGTGCGGAAGTTGTTTCTGCAAGGTACCTGAAAAAGGATAAGGAAGGGTTGTGCGTGACCGCAGAGCTCATTTTATATCTCGAGTCGTATCACACACTGCATTTTTAGGATTGTTGGATTGAAATTTGATTGTCACCGCCTAAGCCGGAAGCTTGCAGGGAAGCGAGAAGGGTACTACTTTCGGGGCTAACCTTTTCTAATCCCTTCCTCCGCCTTCAGACAGGAAGACAGTATTAACATAGTAATTTTGATTCAAGTCATAATACAAGTCATAATATATCCTTGATAAATACCAAACACTTCAGTTACAGCTCAGATAGGGAGTAGAAGACACAAACGCATAAATATATGTTATGCAGCAAAACAGAGATAGAAATTCTCTTCATGTAACAAAAACAATAACTAGAGGAAAAAAACTTCTCTTTTAGACTACTTTCAAATAATTATCATGCAATAAATGATACATACATGTGAATAAACATCGGGCTAACAAAAACTGTGTAGTGCTAACATATTTATGCTTAGTCGGATATGAGCATTTATAAGTTGAAAGTAATTGTGAAGACTGCAAATGCATGTGAATCTCCTCACCAAACTGACCATTACTATTATTATTACTACTATCAATATTAGCATCATTGTTCGAAAGTACTTTTGGTTCACTTACTCTTGTATTATTTATTACCATCATCATGGGTGAGGGCTTAGATTTAGGCAACAGACAGAAGGTAATATCAGGATAATTTTTAAATAATTGATTAAGATAGCTCGCCCAATGACTGGGTGTCTGACCAATCCATTGAGTTAAAGTCTCTAATGTTGGACATTCAACTAAAGAGGATACATTATGCTCTTGGGAACTAGTTATAGTAGAAGATAGAAAGGCTGAAAGGTAACCTGTTACTACAGCTTGATGAATACTATGACAGTCTTTGGGATAGTTTGTGCTATTTGCGCTTGGCGCCATAACAGGTCGAAGAAGGATATCCATGGTTGATGCGGTATTGTTATTCGCCAAAATCTGCTCCTTAAGAATATTACAACAATGGAATGCCTGAAAAATAAACATATATACAAACACATGAGGAATATTAGATAAGGGATAGAAAGCAAAACTGCAAACCTTAAAATTTGCAGTTATACTATGGTTACTTTGAAATAATAAACAATATGAATCTCAACAAAAATAAATGTGAGAATGCAGCTCAGAAACAATTTTTAGGCGATGGCAACAGACTATGAGCTGCACCTATTCAATAACAATAAACGATACTACTCGACTGCTCAAACTAAAATGATGGGCAGACCTTAGAACTTGTGGCACAATGACCGAAGGTCAATTGTCATAGTTTCACAGACAACATTGTGAAGAAAAACTGAAATCTAAAGCTGAATACATTAAACTTAAAACAAACAGCCAGCCTTAGCCAAACCTAAAACCAAATATGTAGCTGAAAAATTTGCTTAGCCACAATAATTTCAGTAACTGCAGTTGTCATTTGACTACAATTATCGAATGAAAACTACTGTCTCTAATTAGTAAAGATGATTTACAGTGATACAGCGGGACCGATTTCAGTTATTACACTATGAGGTTGTAAGACACCTGGAATAAGAGATCTGATGGGCTAACACTAGAACTTAACTAATTAAAAACAACCAGCATAATTGGTAAAACTGGATGACATTTTAGCTGGCACGATCACCTTTGACTGATTTCGATCCAAGATTGGCCCCAATTATTAAGAAGAAAATTAGCTTCATCAATATAGAACTTACAAGTAAAAGATATACGAAAGGACAACTCAAAAGTGAAAAGTACTTCATAAGTATTAATACGGGACCTGAGATTATTGTGCAACATTCTAGGTTCCCACACTTTATAATAGACCAACCCCGCCAAGTTAACTAGTTTACCAGTTACTAGCTGGTCCTAAACCCGGTGAAACAGGGAAGCTTCGGCATACGGATAGCAACCCTACCCCAGCAAACCTATCCAACCCCTTAAGAAACTTCAAAGCACGAAGGAAATATACAACATAAAATTAAACTTATCCCTCACTGGAATAGAGGAGACGAAATGACGCTGGTTGTTGTAAGCCTTCGGGAAACCAGTCAGTCGATATGTCTTCTCTTCCCTTCTCTCGATGAAAGCAAAAGTAAACATGGGGACGTGGAATGTCCGCACCATGTATGAACCTACCTAGGTTGACCAGATTGCAAAAGAGATGAGGAGATATGGCATGGAAGTGCTAGACTGGAATCTGTGAAAGCAGGTGGAATGGAAGTGGATTCTCCAAACTGTCAACTGGAGAGTCAGTAATCTACTCCGATATTGTCACCATCGAAGACTCTCTCTCTCTTTCTCTCTCATGCACTGGGAACCAATCTCCTCCTTCTGCATGATCACGATCATGACAGCAAGGTTCAACCCAAAAGGAAGGGAAGTCACAATCATACAATGCTATGCTACGCTGTGCACATACAAATAATGGAGATGAAGAGAAGAAGGAGGAATCCTACAGACAACTGCAATCAGTACTGGACAAGACTCAACTCCATTTGGTTCATTCTAATGGGTGAGGTGACATGAATACCAGCCAAACTGGGAGTAGACAACACAGGCAGAGAACTCACAATGGGTCGGGAGACACCACTCGGTGAAATGATGAGTGAGAATGGAGAAGTGTTTGCAGACTTCTGCACATTCAACGATTTGGTGATTGGAGGCGAGGCAGTGTGTACAAACAGAAGGATATTCACAAGGCAGCGAGCGACATGGATTTGATTTCACCAGACACCAGGACACACTACACTGAGAATCAGATCGATGAAGTCGATCAATGTGAAGAAAGTGGAGATGGAGATGCAGCCAGCCTACTGGACAAGAGATCAGATGAAGAAGGGGAGCAGATGTGGGTTTAGACAACTCACTATCTGGTGCAAGGAACCTACCTTCAAAATCAAGTTGAAAGCCTGCAGAGAAAATGGTGATAGACCACAGTTCAAGTTGAACACCAAGATCAGAAGCTGAACTGAAGGACGAAACTACAAAGGACACCTACGCATCAGTCAGCCATCAGGACAAAATGGGAGATATTGAGGAACATTCCTGAAGGATCGGGAGTGGAAGAACACTGTCTCTTTGAAAGCTATGTGGAAGGAAATCTGCATGACCGTGTTAGGAAGGAAGAAGAAACAAGAGAATGAATGGATCTCGATGTACAAATGGAAGGTGATAGAACAGGGAGAAAAAGATGGTGAAGCAGAAGATGAACCAGTGCAGTGCATAGCAGGGATGAACAACGAAAAGAGGAACTGAACACAACCAACAAAACACTTCACTGGACAAAGAAGTGAAGAAGAGTGCACGGAAAGTCAAAATACACTTCTACGACAACTGGCAAGTGAGGCGCAACAGCCTTCAGGTAGGAGAGACTTGACAAATAACCAGGCTACTGGCTGGGATGAGAGAGATCAACACAGATCAATACAGATAAAACCAATGAGAGATAGTGAAGAAAACCTAGTTACCAAGGAGAGAAGAGAAACAAAGGAAACCATGGGCTGATCACCACCACCACCTGCAACTCGTCCAGAAATACCAGCAGGAGCCACAGAACTATAAGTAAACATAAGCCTTCCAACAAAAGCAGAAGTGAATTCGTGAACGCCATAAAGTTGCTGAAAGCCGGGAAAGCACCAGGACCAGATCGAGTTTTCTCCAGAAGCACTGAGAACAGACGCAGAGACAGCAGCGGACATGCTCTAATGCAGAAGGTTTGGAAGGAAGGAAAAGTACCTGCCGACTGATTGGGAGAAGGATTACCTTCCCAAAGAAGGGCGACCTAAGTCTTTGTAGGAACTGGCGAGGAATCATGCTCTTGTCCCTATCCACCCCGAGTAAAATATTAGGCCGAATCACCCTGGAGAGATTAAAAGGAAAATGCTCTGGATTCAAAATTACGACCGGAACAGGCTGACTGGCCTCCTGGCTCCAGGAAGAACAAATCATGTGCGGATCAAATTCCAACGCAACACTATATTACGTATCATCATAGAACATCATAGAGTGGCAGTCAACTCTCTATCTGAACTTTACCGATTTTGAAAAGGCCTTCGACAGCGTCGACCGAGAAGTAATATGACAAGCAGCTGCTTCAACACTACGTTTTCAATGCCACAAATCTTTATCAACCTCATTCCACACCTAAATGCTCTAAGATGCTACACACCAAGTGTTCCACAATGGAAAGCTCAGTGACGCCTTTGAAGTGAAGACAGGAATAAGACAGGGTTGCCACCTACTATCACCGAACATCTTTCTGACTATGATGGACTGAAATGGATCATGCAACGGACAACTGTGAGGAAGGAGGAGAGGGGCAGACGCTGACTGGACCGGTGAAAAGACCCCAGAAAAAGATTTGGATTTCGCCGCCAATGATGATTTATGTGGAATGTCACACAAACTCGAAGATCTACAGCCGAAAACTAACAAGTTGGCACAAGAGGCAGGCCAGCCAAGATGGGACTTCCTTCAGGTGAACATAGAGAAGACAGAGGTGATGAAGATACCCGACCAACAACAATAACAACAACAAGCACTAATTTACCATGAACGGGAGAAATCTAAAGGAAGTTGTTTCTTTCACCTACCTGCTTAAGCACCATCGTTTCAACTACAGGCGGTGACGGCAGCACCACAGATAAGGATGACAAAGACAGGATTGGAAACACAGCAAGACACGCCTTCGTTAACCTGAAATCAGTGCGGAGATCTACTGCACTGCACAGCACTCCCCTCAACATGAAGCGTGAAAAAGATCCAGATTTTCAACACTAATGTCAATCAGGTCAGTGCTGCCATGTGATGATTGAGAGACTTGGCGCCTCACGAAAAGCATTTCCAACAAACTACAGACATTCATCAACAGCTGTCGCCTACGCTCACTCGATACTGACACTGAAGATCAGATGGTCAGAATAATAAGAATAAGTTACAAGGAACTCACTATGACAACGAACCAACCAAGAACCCACCACCCAGCAAATATGCGGAGAAGAGTGGAGGTGGATTGAACTGGGCATACAATGAGAAGACCATTTGAAGACACCACGCACCAGGTCAGGGCCTCGAGTGGAACCCAAAGGGGAAACGACGAGTTGGGCGTCTGAGGCGAGGGTGACATGCAGTAGGTCGTGTGAAGAAGAAATGAAAGCTTCTGGGCAGTCGTAGAGCCAGGTTGAAAAGATTATAGAGAAGAGAGTGAAATGGTGACGTGCTACTGAAGCCCTATTTTGCACTAGGAACCCAAGGGACAAATAATAATAATAATAATTTTCTACAGTAAGCTATCAGTGTTTAGGGTAAGTCCCTGTAATGGTTGTTTAGATCGTGAACTTTGTCATTCATCTGTGTCCCCGTATATATGTATTGATGTTTAGGTTTAAAAGAAGATGTATTTAGTGTTGTCTACTACTGAAATGTATCAAACGACTTATGCTAAATACTGATAGCTTACTACAGAGAATTTTTAATTGAGTGCGTGGAAGATTTAGAGCACACGAAATGAACCCGATTCATCCGACAATATTTGTTGTTCTTGCTTTTCAAAAATTTATAAAGGGGACTAATTGTATGAAATAATAATAATAATAATAATAATAATAATAATAATAATAATAATAATAGTATAATACCAGAAAAACAAGCGACAATGCCATAAGATGAAAAAACAGATGAACAGGAACCAAATTGGTCGAAAGTTTGCGGAAAAAAGAACAAATAGTTACGAAATTAGAATTCAGTTCGTTTTGATGCAAAAGGAAACAAAGTGTAAGTGCATTTGTGATACAAATTAATACTGAGCCATATCACCTACAGTCCGACTTTCGGTGTCATGCGGAACAAACCAGGAAGTTTAAATTTCTCTACACAGCTAAGACCGACAGTCAAATACTTTATGAATTGATACAATATTTAATTACTACCACCTCTAACCTTTTTCCATCCTGAAACTACTACCATATTTCACGACGGGGAAGATAATTATTAGATATGCACCCAACCTTGTCTCCTCCTCCTGATACTAATGTTAAACCTCTTACACCTTCCCCAACCTATCGCACTCTGCAACCAATGACAAAGGTCACAGCATCATTTCCAGTCTTCTAAGACCCCGCCATCGATTTCACGTAGAAGCTTTCTGAGTCTGAACTCTATGCTAAATCGAACAGCAAGCAACGCTCGACAGAACTCTGAAATCTTTAGCCACAGATGTAGGCTGTGTCTCTGAGACACGTGTACAGAACCCGAGTATGGTTATTAGATTGATTTCACCTGATCAATGTGATGAATTCTTAAAACTCACCTTGTAAATATCCGTAGACCTGATGACTACCTCTAGTGGACTCGCTGGTGTAAGAAAGCATAAAACTGAGCGATAGAACAGAAAGTGAGCTTCCCGGATACCACTCAATGGCCGCTAATACGCTTTTTAACTGAATGGGTCTGGAAGAAGTAAGAAAAATCGGAAGACCAATTGATGCCCATCCATAAAATCCACCCAAGCATTCAACAACTGTAGTTCGGATGATGCAAAGGATGAATTTGAGAAAACGGTGTATATTTTACTTCAGAAAACAAAATGTTCACATATAGTTAATCATAATGGGAGGTGGCTTTAACGCTCAAGTAGGCAAGATGAGCCGATCCGGTAAGCACTTGGTAGGTATCTACGGATTCCTATGCCAACAAATCCACAACTATCAATAATCGTCTCCTACAATCGCTTGTTTCTAATAACCACTAACTTCAGGTATAAGGAGAGACAGTGTCGTCTCACATGGCGTTTACCCACTCCAAACCCAAACCAACAATGGACACATAGATCACATTGGTATAAGCCATCATTGGAGAGGATCAGTACCAGTTTGAACTCCGATCATATGCTAGTACGGTCTCGTGTATGTCTACGACTTACTAGTTGTAGGAAACATGCTTTATTAAAGGCTGTGTATAGTCGACTGCATGATGAGAACGACAAGTACACATTTAGTTTAGAGGAGAGATAGCTAGGTATTTCTCGGGAAGTAGCAGCAATGCTCATCCTGAGGAAACCTGACGTGATATTAAGTCTTGTGTAGAAACAGTGGTAAACACACTTGGTAACCTAACCTACTTGCGATGGTTGGCAAATGTCATTGGATTTCTACAATGTCGTCGAGACTGGTTGATGCGAGAAGACTGAGTCTAGAGGGTTGTGACCACGATGAAGAGTGAATACAACTCCAACGTAAGTGGACTGAGAGTCTTCGTGTCATTTGCGAGCAGTGGTGGTTGCTGACGGCCAGAGGACTCTAGAAGACATCAACATTGAATAATATCCGGTAATTATTTAGACCCGATGGAGTGATGGGGAGGAAGAAGATGATAGTTAGTGAAATGATCACTGAAATCATTGGAGTGGTACATAGATGTGGGTCGTGCAACAGTTCTTGAAATTGAGAAAACTAGATCGAACCTGTAAAGATACACAGTGGTGGGATTTGACAGATTGCCACCTAGATTCTTCAAGGTTGTAGGTAGACAATTGATGATTAGAGTGACGGAGGTGCTAGGTAGTGGTGCATGGGAATCAGAGGTAGAGGTGTTATCGTCGAATTGATCCACACTTCTGTGACCATATCCTAGTCTATAAGAAGAGGGAGGAATCTTGTTGTGACAAACAGAGGTGGAATTAGTTTGACTAGTATTGCGTTCAAGATTCTAGAGTTATGTCCTGTTGTAGAGCTGTGAGACATGGTCGTCAGAAGTAGAAGACATGAAGCGGTTACAATGTCTTGATCACAGATGTCTTCGTAGCATTGCTTGCGTTTGGTGGGATCAGCGTGTGAGCAATGTTGAGGTCAGGGAGAAGGGTACAAGGCAAGATAGGGAAGTCGATTGATGAGGTTGTGAATCTTAGTCGACTGAGATGGCTCGGGCATATGTTGGGCATGCCTAGCGAGCCACGCCTACCTCGACGTGCCATGCTAATGGACGTTGGATTAGGTTGGAAGCTGGTTCAGGGTGGTCAGAACAAGATGTTGGTGGTACCAGCTGGTGAAGTCTCTCACTGTTGGTCTGAGCCGTGTGGGCCGATGCAGAATGCTGGACTGGCCTTCATGAAATCATAGGAATCAGTGGTTGAGGACTATTGATGACATGAGTGAAAATCGGTCACAACGACACCGATGTAACCTCTTCTTGACGTCTTCCAAAGCTTGAATATTCGCACGAAGCTTTATCTTCAAAGTGTTTACCCTGTCACACACCTTTGTCTACTTCGATGTTACTCTTATTCTATCCACCTGTTGTTTGTATACTACTTTAAAGTGTGGCAGGTTGAGCCGATGGACTTGTATGTGAAGTTCTGTATTGACTTTATCTGTCAGTCAATTTGACAGGCAGTCGGATATGTCGCCAGTCAGCGGCCCTAGAGTTGATGCAAGTTGTCAAATGCTAAGCGACCTTTCTATATCCAAGATGATATTTCATGAACAATAGACCCATTCTGGATGATATAACAGTCTACGTAAATGAAGTGGTGAACAAATTCCATCACTTCACTGGCTAACTAGAAGCATTTGCATTCTAGTCCTCAAACATCGTCGTACACTCAATAGGTGCGAAATGCTTGCCAAACATAGTCATATTTCTGGTCATTGCCTTCAGAAGACACCATCTTCACGTAACAGGACAATCTCGTCTTCTGCTTACTCCACGTCAACCACATGACCCCCAGGCATTAGATCAGTTCCTGTGGAGTCAGAAATATCTAAGGCTATGTCCATTGATACAGTGATAACGAAGTTAGACGAGAGTGGTGTAAGAGAACATCTTTACCGGACATCACTAGTTGGTTATCGTCAGTTAGGATGACAATTAACCATAAACGCTTATACGGTTGGGAGAGTAAGAGCTGGGAGCATCTATCAGCGTTACATACTCGCTAGGTACTTCCTTCACATTCAGAAACTGCTACAACACTTCAGGGTCTACATAGTCGAGTGCCACCTTCAAATCGACAAATATGGCAAGTATAGATCACCGGTAGCTATGCCTGTGTTCCAAAAACTATTGAAGGATGAAGGTCTGATCGATGCCACCTAGTCCAAATCAGAAAACTGTGCAATTTTCTGCAGTCCATTGTTCACCAACCCACTTAGGCGTCGGGTAAAAATCAACCCTAAGATCATAAGACACGACGGTGGTCAGACTGATCCCCACATAGTCTTCATTTGCTACAAAAAGCAAAACGTTCATATGTAATCATAAAAGCTGGCGCCTTTAAAGTTCAAGTAAGGAAGCTAAGTAAATCAGAAAGGTATCTCCAGGTAATTACGGAATCGCATGCCAACGAATCAACAATGGTCATCCTTTGATGCAATTTTGTTCTGACAATCACTTGTTTCTGGCCACCACTAATTTCAAGCATAAGGAAAGACACTCTCTCATTTAAATGGTATCAACCAACGGCAAAGTAGAGAATCATATTGCTATTAAGCCGTAAGTGGAGGATTGCCGCTCTTTTTGGAGTACCTGTTTGGACTTTTATTATGCATCAGTATGCACTTGTGTGCATCTGTGCCTTACTGGTTGCAGAAAACAGGCATCAGTGAAGCCTGTGCATCCTCGACTGGAGAATTAGTACGCCAGCTGTATATTCAGGGATGAGATAGCTAAGCATTTATCTGAACGTGATAGCAATGCTCATCGTGAGGAAACCTGGTGTGATATTAAGTCTGTTGTTAAAACATCGGAAGGTTAGCAAATGTCATTGGATTTCCGCGATGTCGTGCGAGTAGACTTATGCAGGAAGATGCATTCCAGCAGGCTTTAACCGAAATGAACAGCGAAATTGACTGAGAGTCTTAGCAACGGTCGAGATCATTGGTGGATGGAGAGCGAGAGAGATGGAGACGGAGAAGGCATCAGCATTAGGTAATAACCAAGTTGTTTAGGCTTAGTAAGGATTCCTGCAAGAAGAAGACGATGATTGATGAAATTATCAGCAAAAGTGATAGGAAACTGATAAACTCTCAGAATAGGTGTTGAAAACATTGGATGGGACACTTTAAAGCACAGTTCAGCTAGTTGACAGTAGTGTTTCTATTACACAGCGTCTAGCCAGATCGTGAACCGGGTACAGTCGCGCAGATGCATCCACTTTGATTTCTTCCAAAGCTTGAATACTGGCACTAATCTTTACCTTCAGATTGTTTATTCTTCCACACTACTTTGTTGATTGCTATACCACACCTTTTCTATCCATCAGTTGTTTGTGTACTTTTGTGAAGTGTAGTAACCTGAGTTGATGCACTTGTGTGAGGTGCTGCTTTGATTCCGTTTTCTACCCAAATGCACCATGTTAACTACAGTAGGATTACGTGGAAAAGCTGGCCTTAGTCAGACATGATACAATCAAGTCTCTGACTATTGGTTTGAGCTGTGTAGTGGAATGTAGACTTTCGAAATAGAGTATGCGCCTCAAGCAATCATTGAAAACACAAGTGTGGAAAAGTCATGCTTCAGTTTAATCTCTTGTGTATCATAGCAAAGGTAAAACTGGTGACATTTTATCTACTCTACCATGAAACACACACACACATTTTAACTAACATAAGTTCAGTAGACAATACGACGGAAAGCATTCATCAGTACATACCTAGACAATTCAATCAGAAAGCACGATTAGTTTCTAATGCTAAAATGATTTTAAAAAGATAATTGAGTATTTACCTTTGTATATATATGATTAAAGTTGATGTGTAGATTGGGAAAGGGTTGCAGATGTGAAATTATCACCCAATATCCCATAGATAAGAAAAGCATATCCATCAACAAGGACATTGGCAAGACTTAGTTGATTGTAGCTAATACTTTGATCTCCGTGGGGTACACGTGGACTTTGTTTCATTTTATCATCGTCTATATTGAAAATATTGCAATAACTAGTCTTGAAATTATTAGTAATCGATAGTTTTGGCAACAACATGAATAAACTTTCAACATCATGAAGTATACAATCTGATTTATGCGTTGTAAAGTTAGGTTTCCATGATGAAAGGATATGTTTTCGATAAGAATAGTTCACAGTAAAAACATGTGGGCAGGATAAGGGTAAGACTTCATGTTTTACACATTCTGTACACAAATATCCCATAAGGTAACCCATAAAACCTGCACGCATCAACGAAGCTGATGATAATTTGGATGAAACATACACTAGAGCAATTTGACTATTGACTGATTTTTCAGGTGAATAAATATCATGAAGTAAATGTTGGATGACAGATTTGAACTATATGATAGAAAATTTAAAACATACAACTTTGAGAAAGTTCTAAGCCCATAGAACAGTTCATTAATTTAAACTACACTTAAAAAAGTTTATTCACCCAGAATATGGTAACGTCAAACATGATGTATTTTATACTTTACTCTATGATATAAAACGTGAGGTAAGTATAAATCACATTGTTTTTTTAAGAAAACGTTATCACAGTAAATTTATCTTTCTTTTATCTAACTCATTTCAGCTGTCTCGCATCATTGAAGCAGTCTCGTTATATCTTCAATGAACGTATTTGCTGTTAGAGACATGAGATCAGAATCAAAAATGAAGTATCCACTTATACTGTTTTCTTCCCGTTTAATTCCTTGTGAATTACAGTATAACATGATAATATAGTCAGTAAATAGGTTTTTAATGATTTCAATTTTTGGAATTTGAATTCAATATTCACAGCATAGGTGGTGTTAATGAGTCAGCCACTTTATGTTCAGTAAACGTATGGAAGTCTTCACTTCTCAACAGTCTAAAACTAGAAAGTAACTGTATCGTTGTAAAATCGAGGATTTTTAAGTCAAACTCTATGTGCTGACATATTCATTCGCAAATATTAGAGAGATTTGTAAAGTTGATAGAATTCTAAATAGTTTTTACTAAGAATCAAAGTCAGAGAGCGATTCATTCTAAACTACGGGGCACCAGATAGTTGTTTCGTCTCCATTTTAAAATCGTCGTCAACACTCTACATTCACCACACTGCTTGGGAACGAGTCTACGACTGCGACGTCTCACAGTACATACATTGCCATTCAATCAGAGTTGGGACCTAAAGACCCAGAAATTCCAAGTAATCAGTTTGCATCATAAAGTGATCAGCATTTAATGTAATCTGTAAGCTCCCACCGGTAACGACTTCTCATTAGAACTTCGCGAATGTCATCCCAAAGCAAGTTACTGGTGCGTTCAATTTTGAGGGTTGTGGGGATTTAATCATTGGTTTCAGTTTGCTTCAAGACGAACCCCCCCCCCCCCGGTGGGCCAACCAAGTCGAATGTGAGGACGGTTACTCAACGACAGTACTAGATGGAGGCCATGCTTTATGGTGAACTGGCAGAACTAGGAAATATGGGTCACTGGGTTTCGAACCAGTGGTCCAGTGGTAACGTGCTGGCCACGGAATCCGGTCCTGGGTTCGTTCCCTCGCCGGGATTATGAGTGAGTCCCACACTAGGACGAAACAGCTGTCCAGTGCCCCCAGTTTTTTTATGGTTTTCCAACTTGTGTCAGTTCATGATGAATACCAACCTGAAATCAATAATCAAATCCCCACAAACCTCCAAAATGAATTATGTTCAACAAAGAATAGTTGGGCAGAAAGTCAGTATATATCGAGCTAAAGCCTTGTTGCCTTGAGGAGACAAAATTCATACCAATGACTTATCAGTAAGGGCTAGTTTTCAGCAATAGTAAGTACCGTTCTTGCATTAACTCATTCCAGTTTTCGCTTACGCAAGTGTCACGGAACACAGCAGATGCAAAATTACAGGTAATGCATGTGCAAAAATAAAGTTCCCTAGTTTTAATCGTTGTACTTTATTTTCAAGTGTAGCATTTATCCAGTTTTAAATCTATCCTAGTTAGTACAGCCAATTATGCGCGTAAACATTTGCTTACCGGGTTGCTGACAACAGCATAGTTAGGGTCTGCATAAACTCCTGCTGATTCTCTGAAAGCTCTTTACTTGTTGAGTTCTCATCTACCGTTCATCAAAACAGACTACAGCTCACAGTTACAATACAGTACCATGCTTCGTGAAACCTAGTAGTATCGTCGTTGCGCTTGCACTAAGTGCAACTCATTACGTAGCATAGATCAATACACGCCTGACCTCTGAGTCAGGTAGATCAGTTACCTTTTAGGACATTTAATCTACGAGGAGTCTTTGGTATTGATTCATGTAAACTTTAAACTCAAAAATTAGTAAAAAAAAAAACTGCTCAATTATTTTTAAAAAGCCTTTAAATTACCACAGAGGAACAAACAGATGGTCGGAATTCTTTTCCAGAAGGTAAATTCAGTGGTAAGCTGTTCCAACTGGAAAGTATAATTGAGTTATTATTTTTTGGATCCAAACACAGGGATGCATAACTCAGTCGATCGACTGTAACTTCAATAGTACAGCAAGAGTCAACTGTCTAAAAAAAACTGCATAAACAATTGTTGTTTACTCACCCTACGCTGTTTATCTGTCAGCTGAGGCCGGATTGAAGCGGGAACTGTATTTACACTTCGTCTTAGGAACAGAGGAATGAAACTGCAGACATCTGATATGATCCTAAGTGATTGAGTTCTTATAAGTGTCATCTGGAGCCAAAAATACTCGCCAGATTATGTCTGTATTTGAACACGTCCGATGAATTTATCTGGAACAAGAAATAAACACGTTTTAGCTTATACAGCATAACGCGATATAAAGTAGGCTATTTACCCACAAATATCTTGTGATAATCCCTACCTATTTTAACGATAAGAAAACATCCCGCTTTCATCGGGTACAAAACATTTGAAAAACATTACCTGGAAGGTAAGTAGGATATTGTCGTTAAGATTTTGGATCAATAAAAGGACAGACAAGAAAAACATCTGTATATGCAGATTAAGGAAACCGAAGTTAGCCCATCATCAAATGGTGATGACGACCTGATATGGAACTAAAGACGATAAATGGCAGTTATCGTTGAGCAGAGGGATCAGCTAAAATACAAGATACTACACCAAGAGGAATTCTGATCAACAACTATAAGAGAACTATTGTCACAGCCGATTCCAATCTCACCGTTAATCTTGCAACGGTTGGAGAAAAATGTTAATTTCTACTTACGTTCCACGTAACTGTTGGCTTTGTGTACTACTAGAAGCGTGTGGGCGGTTGACACTTCCCGGCTCCCCACACTGAGGAAGTCAATTTTCTCCTAAGGTGCTTGGAATGGAAAAAAGCGCAGAGCTCATGAGACACCTACTTGAGGTCTGCAACACAGTCTTTTGCGGGTTATTGCTTTCAGGTTTGGTTGTTCTAACCCCAAACAAAGAAAACACATACCCCCGGCACCGAAAGTCCATGTGGCAGGGAGGAGTGTGCTATTTTTGGGGTCGACCTCTTCTGCCCCCCTCTCGCCTTAGCGAAGGCAGCGTCAGCGTGACACTGTTGGTCATCTGGCGAAAACACTACTGCTGTCACACTCCATCCAGCCAGCAGTATGACTTCATCCTTAGATCCCCAACATAGTATAGTAATTTACACTACAACAGTAACTGCTTTTCGTTTCATCACTATCCAACAGACATTACTAGCATGATAGGACCTTGAGGAAACAAGCGTTCCAGTCAGTGTAGCTCGTTGGATCACTGTGATATGCAAGCCTCACCAATCGGTCAACGTAGCAGCTATCGTTCGGGTACTATGCAATTAACACAGATTCTCAGGAAGCGGCTTATTAACACATTTGTATAGTTAAGTAATCAAATTAAATCCAAAATTTGCTTGGGGAAAAGCATAAAGATTGAAGGCTCGAGTATTTTTATGTACCATTAATGCATACCTTCGGTTGCAGATACTAACTGTAGCCTTAGGCTGACCAAGATCAGGTTAGCTTTTGCATATATATATATATATATATATATATATATATATATATATATATATATATATATATATATATATATATATATATCACAACCTGTTCTTCATTTCATCAAAAACCTACAAATGTTTTGCAGGTGGTTGTTCATCAATTACATAAGTGTGTAGCGAGACTAAACAGTGGATTCCAATGTATTTTTTAAGCTCTTACGAAATTAAATGATTCGTACTTTTAGCGGAAATCTTTGTATTGCCTAGCCGTATTCACAATTTTCAAATTTCTTCGATACATTTTTCACTTATATGAACTCACTAGGTGAAAGAGTGAGGCGACCTGCGTAAAACTAGTGGGAGAACTACAATAAATGTAACTTTTGTATATAATACTAAAAGAAAAAATAATAATACAATACTGAATACTTAAAACAATCATGTGGGCTCATTAAATCATTAGACAGTAATTTTTGTCATTGCGGAACAGTTAGTACAGATTCCTAACACTTACAGAATGCAACAACTTCAATGAGTTTGATGCGTAGTTTAGATATTATTTTCAGTCTAGTGCTCTGAATTTTTTAAGTAATTAAAAATTGTATCTTGGGTGATATTTCAAATCCTGTTTTTTTTTAATGGATTTTAAGGTGAACACGTATCAAAACGATATTTTACAAGTGAGTTTTTAACTAATTATGTTAGTTCTAACTTCAAGTTGTTATTCATCGTAGACTGACATCAGCTGGAGGAACAAAGGAAACCTGGGAGCACTGGACAGCTGTTTCATCCTAGTATGGGACTCCTCAGCAGTGCGCACCCACGAGCCCGCACCACCAAAGATCGAACCCGCGACCTTCAGGTTCCGCGGCCAGCGCGTTGCCACTGAGTCACTGGGTCAGAATCCAGTGCTCCATATTTCCAACTTCTGTTAGCTCACGATATAGCGCAAGCGCCACCCTCCAGCTGATGTCAGTCTACGATGAATAACAACTTGAAATATTTCCAAATCTCCACAACTCCCTCAAAATTCAATATGTTAGTTCTGTCAATGAGACACCTTATTTTTTGAACGAATAGTAATCATGGGTCAGCTTTATGGTCTGAATTAAGTTGGAAGTTCGAAGTATAAAGCGACTAAAAAGCTGGAAACGCTTCAAGAAAGCAAGTACAGATAACCTAGTTGCCTGTGTTACGTTCTGAAATGAGGGTCTAAGACAGCACTAGTAGTTACCTAAGTATCTAATAAATTACACAAAGTTCCGAAATAGCTAATGCATTTAAACGCCCAAACATATGCGAACAGTTTATTTTTTTTAGTTGGATGACCCTACCTTTTGAAAAATGTAGGATCCTGACCACTCCGAAAACGCTATTTCCATAAAGGAGATCACACCAGGCAACTTTTCCTCCCTTTGATACGTTAGGAGTCCTATTAAAGGTGAAGACTACGCAAACCAGCCGGTTATTTCGTTGTCTGTGTCTGCCATTCTCAAAGACACCGGACGATGTACGCGGAGTTTATTTTCTGTAAGTTATGTGAACACTGCATAGTTGTGAGTGTTTGCCAAAGAAAAAGAGATGAATAACCTTATTGAGGTAATTGACTTTATTCTTGAAATGCTTCTGGCCCACACACCAAAGTGACAAATTAGATGAAGGCTATTAGACTGTCGTTTCCTGGTCACCGAATCATAATCACGGATTGATAGTTCTTATGGTAGTCTCTCAGTGAAAGGGGTGCTGAGTAAGCACATCACTCCTTTGAAGGCTCTTTACTCGAAAACCTGTGAGTATCGTAGAGATTATGGTGAGTTGTCACGTAAGCTATGTACATCGAATGATGTTCCTCATTCCTCTTCAATTTTCACATAGACATTCTTATGCAGGTCTCCCTCTCGTCACCTCATTTCACACCGATTCATCTAATCACACAACAACTCTTTAGTAGATCTACAATACACAGATAACATAATCCTGTCAGGTGAAGACACTGACTGACAAGATCCAGGCTTCTGGATACCATAACTGGCAGTTGTTTCAGAATACTTGCGATGCATTCCTCACCACTCAAATTTAAATCAGTGCTCCACAACTGGTTTGCACCTGTGCTCCAAAAAACAATACAACGTGAATTGGTCGAATGTGTTGAACAATTCACTTTCCTAGGAATTCAAATCAGCCCTGCTGATCTTTATATTCGGTTGTCTATTAAGGGTCGAGGGACTGCTCTGCAGCTTGCTTTGTTCTGCTAGATGGCCGTGAAACATGATCATTAAAGGCGGACAGAAGGGGCCCTTAGGTCTTCGACCGCCGTCACCTTCGTATCACAGACCACGTCAGTGAAGCAGAAGTAAGGTGTAGAGTTAGATTTAAAAGAGGATAGTCAGTTGGTGTGGTTGTGAATGAGCCTTCATCGACTGAGGTGGCTGGGACATATGTTACGCATGTGCGCGATGTTAGCTAGAGTAGGTTTAGGCTAGAAAAAAGTTAGGTGTGCCCAGACTAAAACATGGCATAAATCTCTGAAGTCTTTGACTATTGGTTTGAGCCGTGTTCGGAAATGCAGACTAGCCAGTTCGGGTCCACGTGACAACAGAAACCAATGGTGGAAGATTCTAGGTGATATGGTGGAGAATTGATGTCAGTTGAGCAGATACATCCAGACATCACCCTCATCTTAATTGCTATTCCGAATTCCACATTTCCCTCTTTCCTCCTTCCTCTTTTTTAACACTTATCACACATATCACACTTATCACAGATATACTGTTGGCATGTTTGCAGAGGCGGGATCACTGAGATGAGGGAAAAACTGTTTTCTAAATATCGGATAGTTAGTTGTAGTCCAAACATCAGTGGGTTAGGTGGACTTAAAGATGCACAGAAAGGAATGAGGAAAACTGACAACACAACACGTTAAGGCTATAAAAAGGCGTTATTTAGTTGTTTTTCTCAGTGCGTTTTACGAACTCATGGCCTATAAGTCCCCTTCACAATGAACCGATTATACCAATATTTGGTGACATATTTACACTATCTACAGATTCACCATCATCAATATTAACATAGGACAAGGCATTACTGCGTAACGGTCCGAGTTGCCACAGCTCATATCAGTACATCAAGTAGAAAAATAGTGAGGTTCAAGATGAAGATAAGAAAATTCAGTCAAAAGAAATATAAAGTACGAAGAGAGAAAAAGAAAGAATGAATAAATGGTGATATCCAGTACAGCGTTAGAATGAGGATAATGTATGTATACATCTGCTCCACTGACATTGGTTCTCAACCACATCACCTAGAGTCTCCAACCACTGGTTCCTCTTATCCCGCCGACCCCAACCACACAGTCTGTATCCCCCTACATGGCTCAAACCAACAGTCAGAGACTTCATACATTGATGCCATGTTTTAATCTGACCACTTTGGGCCCTTTTCCAGCCTGGACCTACTTCGGCCAACTCTGTGTGATGAGGCAATCGGTGACTGGGTATACATAGTACGTGTCCCAACCATCTCAATCGATGAAGGTTCACAACCATGTCAACTGATTTACCTCTTCTCTCTAGAACTGTACACCTGACCTCTGCGTTATTCACGTGGTGACACCACAGAATACGGCCTATACTACGAAGGCAACGGTGGTCAAACACTTGAAGCCTTCTCATGTCTTCCACCTTCAATGGCCATGTTTCACAGCCATACAGTAGAACAGACCGGACTGCTGTGC